GGATAAAAAACTACTGAATCTTAAAACACCTTCCCCCCCACTCCTCCCTTCTTCCTGGGCTCAACTTCACTCCCAGTTTCTCTACCTACTCCCCCCAGCGGCACAAGGGGATGGGAATGGGGTTTGGGGTCAGTTCATCACACCTTCTCTCTGCTGCTTCTTCTTCCTCAGGAGAGGACTCTTCCCCTGCTCATGCGTGGAGTCCCTTTCATGGGAGACAGTCCTCCACGAACTTCTCCAACATGAGTCCTTCCCATGGGCTTCACGAACTGCTCCAGCATGAGTCCATAATTTCCACAGGGTGCAGTCCCTCAGGAGCAGGCTGCTCCAGCATGGGTCCCCTGCAGGGTCACAAGTTCTGCCAGCAAACCTGCTTCGGCGTGGGCTTCTCCCCCCACAGGTCCTGAAAGTCTTGCCAGGAACCTGATCTGGCGCAGGCTTCCCACGGGGTCACAGCCTCCTTCCTTTGGGCATCCACCCGCTCTGGCATGGGGTCCTCCATGGGCTACAGGTGGAGATCTGCTCCACCATGGACCTTCATGGGCTGCCTCCAGGGGACAGCCTGCCTCACCATGGTCTTCACCACGGGCTGCAGGGGAATCTCTGCTCCGGTTCCTGGAGCACCTCCTCCCCCTCCTTCTTCACTGACCTTGGTGTCTGCAGGGCTGTTTTCTCTTGCATCCTCTCACTTCTCTCTCCAGCTACTGAGCCGCAGCTGTTTTTATTTTCCTTCTTCAATATGTTATCACAGAGGTGCTTCCACTGTCGCTGATTGGCTTGGCCTTGGCCAGCAGCGGACACAGAGAAAATTTCTAGCAGCTTCTCACAGAAGCCACCCCTGTAGCCCCCCCACGACCAAGACCTTGCCACACAAACCCAATACACTTCTGAAAGAGGAAAGATCATTATATGTGAGAATCCTACCCTCGTTTTCATGCTGTCTAATTTTTATTATTTTTTCCCTTCTTTTTTTTCTTTTTTCTTTCTGCAGTCCTTGGACTGCTTGTGATCCTACTCTGCTTTTTAATACTACATTTTGTGCATGGGCACATTGAAATGTTTTTTCCAGTCAAGGATCTTGTGCCTTGGCAGAATTTGAATTTAGTGTTTTAAACTGATGCTTGGGCTCAAAGCAACAAGTTCAGCACTGCATCTTTCTCTGAGGGTTACTTTATTGCAGTTGTCTTAAGGCAGAAGAAAACCAGATCTTTACAGTAGAGATTCTGTATATAGTGGTTTTTTTCCGTAGGTGGAGTTTTCCTTTCAATGTATTTCCAACTTGTCTCCAAGAGTGAACTCCAGTTTAATTTCATTTGGGAAACTGTTTATATAGGATAAATTTCTTTCAGATGTTTCCCAAATATCTTGATACCTGAGTGATTTGGGAGTATTAGCATAGTGTGCACTCTGATTGTGTAATGAGTTGTGTCAGAACCTGTTAGAAGACTGTTAGAAGCAAATATGGGTCTGCTAAGATCGCAGAGTATTTCCAGTATAACTCAAGCTATATTTGTAGACTTGCTGAAAAAATGTTTCCATCCTCTGGACAGCCATGTGAGCATTCAAGCTTTCACTGAGTACTAGGGGTCTACCCAAATAACTGCACAGGAATACAGACTGGAGTTAGCCAAAGCACCAGACTACATATGTGCAATGTGGGCAATGCTATTGCATTGTTTGCAATGTTTGCAACGCCAACTATTTAGCGTTACAAAGTAGATGGTATTTTTCCTGGGGGGGTGGTGGTGAGTTTGGGGGTTTTTTTGAGATGCATCACTTATGAACATCTATCCATCCTTCACTGTCTCTTTTTTGTAGTCCTGTTCACTTTTAGGAAATAGTTTTACATTAACTGAGAAAATAAATTTTACATTCATACTGTTGTGTACAGGAGAATGGAGTGTGCACAAACTTAATGGGAGCTGTTAAGAGAAAAATGTGAATACTTGTGTGTTAAAATCATGTAAGTGTGAGCATGAGACAGATAACACTTTTCAAAGACTCCAGTGGTTGGCAACTTCCTCTTCCATCAGCAAGTTAGGTTACAAGGATTCTGCTAGGTAATTGTCACAAATGCTGATTTAGGATCCTGCCGACTACACCAACTTGTTGTGAATGCATGAATTTACAGCTGCTACTAAATCAAACTGCATAGAATTTATTTGTGCCTTTACAGCAAATCAAATTTTAATAGCACTCAGTCATCAGTCGATTAACAAAGTGATTTAACAAAATTTGTTTTAATCAAAACAGCAACTTAGTTACAGATTCGAAGATGGCAAGGTTCACTCTAATACTGCGTGGAAGAAGTACACAAAGGAAAATTAAGTTACACTTGAATTAGGATAATTCACAGAGAGACCATGGATGCAGAGGATAAGGAAGACCCTCCCGTTGAGTCACGAGGTTCAGAACAGACCCCCTTGTGTTCTAAACTCCTCAGAGAGGAGTCTAGATGTGCCTAGGTCCAATGTTAGTCTCAGACCTTGTCAATGGTTTACGTCTAAGGATAACACATCTCTAGCAGCAGTCTCGGGTTTATTCACAGTTTTAAGGTGGACCACAAGATTTTTAGCAGCACTTAATCGTTGACTAAATTAATGTTCATGGAGTGAGTCAACTATAATCATGACAGACTCACTTTGTAACTAAATCACATGTTTACAGATTACTTAAATCAATTTGCTCATGCATACGCACAGACATCATTACATTTTTTCTAATATATATATATATATAAATAAAAAGGTATACCTGTTAAAAATTCCCCTTGAGTTCAGTGAAATATTCACATCAGATGTCTTAGCATTTCTCAATGGGCAAGGGTTGAGCCTCAAGGAGTGAAGGGTTTTCAGCCCAGGCTCCACCGCTGGTCTTTGGTGATGGACCTCTGATTTTAGCAAACTTGAGAGTCTGTGAGCTGTGAGAGGCGTCCCCGCTCAGAGGGAGATGCTGGTCACAGCCTGCTGTGGGTCCAGGAGAGCTCAGAGGGCCTCACTTAGGACTGCAGTTTTATAGGATTGTGAGATGATTGGCTTTAGTCATCAGTAAATTTCCAGTCTGGGCCACAGTCCAGGTTGGTAATCACTGGAATTCCAGTAACGATGGTACCATGCCACTCGGGTTACAGAACAGATAAAGTACGTTCCGAGGCTACGAGGGGGTAACTGATTGTTCCCGTTTTCACTCCCTGCCTCAGCCATGTAGCAGTTCCTGGTACGGACAGTGCCGCCTAATCGTCTGTCTCCTTACACCAAGGCCAAGATCTGGTGGGAGTTTCTGAGATCATAAAGCCGTCCAGCAGAAAGGGCAGGGGGGGATGCACCACCACAATGTTTTTAGTGATTTGTCCTTGATGAGGCTCTGCCTGGCTGAAAGAACCTACTGAAGATGAGGATGCTATCACCATGCCACAGTGGGGAGCGGGGCTAGGTGGAGGTCTGGCAGCCCCCTCTCTGTCTGTCAACGGTTGCCTCGAATGTGCAGGAAATGCCTCTGTCACTCCCCTCGCTTCTTATCCGCTACTTGCAGAAGAGGCCTAAACTAATGTCAAGAACCTGAGCAGCCCAGACTCATGTCAGGAGCCTGGACTACCCTGGGGAAGCTTATACTATTAACTACCAGGAATAAATAGTGTCACTCATACCTACCTATATCATCATAACTCATGCTAAAAAATTGTGGTACTGAGAACGTTTTGCTGAACCACTGGAAGTTCCTCTTTCCTCTGTTAAGTGCCCTCCACTCTTATTTGTAACCCACATAGGGCGTGGCTTTGCAAGTAGGCAAGCACAGAACTTCTTGTTAGGCTATACACACTGTGACTATGTACTAATGAGGGTATAAACAAGAGGCTGAAACGCCAGCCCCTTGGAGCTCCCCTACCCACCATGCGCCGCTGGAGCTCCCCTCAGCTGGTCTGAGACCCCCCCCCCATGCTATGCTACTCGCCTCTGGAATTCCGAACAGGGTGTATCACCTTCTCCCCTCTCCTTGTGCTCCTTAGACATAAACCACTGACCAAGTCTGAATCTAGGAGAGGACCTAGCTGCATCTAGACTCCTCTCTGAGAAGGAGTTTAGAAAGGAAGGGGGTCTGTTCTGAACCTCGTGACTCAGCGGGAGGGTCCTCCTTATTCTCTGCGCCCGTGGTCTCTCTGTGCCTTTCCCCATATCGCTATGCCAGTGTGCTATAGACTATAGGCATATATTACCAACATGCATGATATGCTGTTAGAATATTGTTGACTCAAGAATATATGCTATTAAGACTATTGTTGAATGGAGTAAAGTACAGAAATTCTGTTATATGCTAGACTTGCCTGACCTGTATTTGAGGCAGTGCAGTGAGCAACCTTAGGGTCCTCTGTCTAATTCACCTGAAAATCGTCAGTGAAGCGAGTTGCTATATACTGTCCCTGCTTGCTCTGCTAGGGAACAGGGCAAGACTGTCCCTGCCTGCACTGCTCAGGAATGGAACACAACAGTCCTGCAGCTTGAATATCAACAGTACACCCGTTATGAACTTGAGTTTTGCACAAAACATTAGCAAAAAAAGCTCCCCTTTTGAATATGCATATAAATTATTTACACCGGAGTTCTGTATGGGAATAAAAATGCTCCTTTCACGAGGCTATGCCCAAATTATGTAGCATAACCATTAACCAAAGCTTTTTTTTTTTAACCTGGGCATCAGAAGGTGCTTACCTACAAAAAAACAAATGCCACAAAAGGTGTTTTCAGTTCTGCTTTAAGTTCTAATGAAGAAATGGAGCCAATTTCCTGTAATTCCTTCTTGTAATATGCTACACTTACAAGAACTATTGGCTTAGACACAGTGAATAATAATTTGCAATAAAACTCAGGCAGTGGGTGGTGCAAGTTGGGAAATGAAGCTTTTTATTCTTTGTGATACTTAACTAGCATATGAAAACAACTGTTGTTGGTCTGTATGTGTGCTCAGTTGTTTTTATAACCTTTGTTTTTTGTTGTTCATCACAGACCTTCACTCCTCTAGTAGATAAGCTGGGTTTAGGCTCTGTGGTCCCAGTGGAGTTTCTTCTGGACAGGCATTTACGTTTCCTGTCTGATGCCAGTGGATTACGTTTGTTTCAGGTATTTGAACTATGTTCAATTAAAGTGCAAATTTAACTTTGTGCTGTGATTGTCAGGTTATCTTTTGTTTTTATCTTTTGTTTTCTTACTGTTCCACTGCCATATTCTTGTCTTCCTCCTTTCAGTGCCCTGTCACGTATTTGTGTTTGTTTCCCTGCTTTTCCAAGTGCTTACCATAATCTCCATCTGTATTTGAAAAGTCCTTGCTCCTTTCTGTATTGGTCAGTTGGAGAGCTAGCTGTCAAGCATCGTGTAGCTGATAACTGCAATGGAAGTTTTGCAACAGTTTTTGCATAGCTAGTCCTTTTTTTTCTTCCTGGCATGTTCAGCAATGTTTTTCTTAATTTTACTTTTTTTTTTTTCCGATTGTCAGTCTCTGAGAGCAATCTAAGAAGAGCTGTCCCTTAAAAGCTAACAATTCTGTTACCTTAAAAGACTATATATTAAGAAGAGCTGTCCCTTAAAAGCTAACAATTCTATTACCTTAAAAGACTGTGTTAAAACTGTTTGTTGTTGGCAGATGGGAACAGAAAGTCAAAATCAGATTCTTCAGGAACAGCCTTCACTAAGAGAATCTGTCAACACATTGATCAGTGACCAGAAGCTTCAGGAGATATTTAGTAGAGGTGAGACTGTGTTTTTCTATCTCAGAGCTACTTTGTTGTGGAACAGTTAGACTACACTGGGATTTGTGAAGGAGAATAGTAATATTCTATTACTATTTGATCTGGAAGGTCAATTTTCTGTATTGTTTTGCAAGTTCTTTACAAAGAAGCATTATTTTGTCACAGTTACAGATAAGCAGTTGCTGAGATACCACCAGAAATGCCTACTGGGAATGATCACTGAAGATGTAGTTAAAGTGGGATGACATGTGTTTGATAACATCCATGTATTTACAACTTCCCTTATTTTAAGCTTTAATTTTGAATTGTTAAAGTTTTGGTCCTGTTCTATGGTTCTGTTCTATAATTCTGGAAATTTAGAAGCGAAGTTACTCTGTAGTTGCTGATCTTTAAAAAATTTTGTTTGTTATGACAAATTCAAATTTTGGTGTTTTGATAATTAATACATGAATTGTTTAAGTTGAAAATATGGCATGACCGTGGCTGCTCAGCGTAGTCAATAACTGTTGTCTGGTTTGTGTATTAGGGTTAAGCCTGATTGCAACTTTTGTTGTCACACTGGGGTCTTCTAGTTCAAGTGTTAAAACAATTTTCTATCCAGAATTTGGTTTCATGGGCCAGGTGGCCTCCCTAGACTTAGGCCACTGTATTACATTTGAAGGACAATGTAATTCTTAATGGGGATTTGGTGCCTTTTGGTTAAATAAAATGCTTATTGATAAAAATGCTGTGAGGACAACTTCTTAGTGAGCAAGTAGCTTCAGAGTTGTCCAGTTCGGAGCCTTCTTTTGAAGCACCTAGTTCTGGTTGTATCAGATACAGGGTGTTGGATCATGTCAATTTTGATGATCTAATATTAATTAAGGGTTTTTTTGTCTGGACTTAGGGTAGGAGGAAAATTCTGCATGCTGATGTGGAGAGTGAGGGCAGGGTGAGAGGAAACCTTTCTATAGGTGATCCATTACCTGTGTCAAAGAACTAAGACTGGTTGGTTTAGAGACATTGGATATTTGTGTAATTATATTCTACAGTTACAAATAGATGTTTCTATTCTGAACTGCATGCAGTTTATACTGGGATTTGATGTATCTGAACTGAGTCAGAATGCTATGACTGTCTGCTGGACTGATACTTCATAATTACTGACCTTAAGTTAGGAAGCAAAAGAATTTAGTTGGCAAGAAGCCCCCATCTAGCTTGTTTTTGTCAAAGGAGTGAGTTTATTTTGATCTTTCACATATTTTTTTTCACTTGTAAACTGTATTAATTTCGTCTTTACAATAGTTTCGAGTTACAGCAGTGAAGGCTTACTGACTTTTTACAACAGAATGTTTGGCTTATGGAGGACTTGCAGCAGAAGCCCTAGCATTTTAATTTCTTTCCAGCTGAAAGATGACACTTCAAGCCCTAATTATGTGCACAGAACTTTTTTTTTTTTTTTTTTTTTTTTATTGTATGACTCTTAACTAGTATGATATAAAGCTTGTCTGGAAAATGTACTCAAAGTCCTTCTTTTCCAGGTCCTTACAATGTCCAAGGCCAAAGAGTTAAGGTTTACCAACCAGAGGATGAAAATAGCTGGCTCTGTGGTGTTGTGAGCCATCAAGACCCAATAACTCGTCTCATGGAGGTGTCTGTGACTGAGGTAAAAATACGAAGCACTGCTTTGGTGTTCCTAAAATACAGCTTCCCCAAAACTTGTACTTTTGGTTCTTTGTTTTTTACTTTAAAAGATGAGTAGTTACCCATGTTGCGATTCGCAGATCTTTTTTTTTCTGTTATGATGGCTTTCCACAGTAAATGATGATACACAGCCCACTTCTGTAAAAGAACCTATAAGAATTTATTTGGAAATGAGTGAGATATGAAAAGATATTGGAAGTAGCTTTCTGGATGGGAGAACATGCTGATGTACAGAAAGTTAACTTCTGGGTCTGTTATGCTGTGGTCTTTCTATGCCTTCTGTCAGCTTCTATCTGACAGGCTATACAAGTGGTTTGAATCAAGTGTAGCATAGAAGATGAAGTCTTAGTCTAAACAAAAACGATTTATATATTTTAGCTTAGGCTGTTTATTTTTGCCCTATTGCTATCAGTAAACCTAGTAAGTGTTGTAAACAGCACAGAAAATCTGTGCACTGCTGGAGTTATCTGGTTTGTATTATATGCTTCTGTGCAGTCTGACATGTAGTTCAGCCTTATCAGCAGCCTGCTCCTAAAGGCTTTCTCTTCCAGGAGCAACTAGGAACAGGTCTGTAGTGCTGTGTGTAAATTACTGTAGCAGCAGCACTCTTCTCAGTTTTTTGGGTCCTGGCCTGTGCCCCGTGCCCCCCGCCCCCATAGTCTTTTCCATGTGCACTAAAATAAATGTGCAGAATGAATGCGCTGAATGTGCCCGGTAAGTCCTGTGTACACATGCAGTAACCCTGCACTCCGACTACTACATCTATTGCTAGTGCACGGGAAACAAATATACTGTTTATGGTAAAAAGTATAGTATTTTGGAGAGGCATTGAAATTCTAGAGTATATGCTTTCAGATAAATGGGAAGCACCCAAGTTGCTGCATATCTAATGTGAAATAAAAAGGTAACCTCCAAGCACAGTTCAAGAGGTTGGGTATTCATTGCTCATTTTGGGGAGACGCTGATGAGGATAGTTAGCATAAATTGATGTGCTTCCTTCCAGTAGTCTTTTCTACATCTAGCAGAGCAAATATGCAGAAGACTAGAACAATACTAAATCAAATTTAAGAGGAGCTGCATTTAATGCAACGAATGCCTCTAGAGATGCTCAGTAGAACAAATATACAAGGAAACAATGGTAGGAATCAAACCTGAAAGTTTTTGAAATAGAAAATGAGCAAAAGGATAGAAGGTAAACTGGAAGGCTGTAGTATTACTAAGGAAGTGGGACAGAAAGAAAAGGCAAATAGGAGAGGGGCTGCGGAGCAACCCTGTGTCTCTTATGTTGATACTGTATACTCTGAATTAAAAACTAACCTCCTGTTTTCTTCCTACCTCCTCAATATCAATCTTCATAAAAATTAGAGTGGCGAAATAAAGTCGGTGGATCCTCGACTGATTCATGTGGTGATGGATAACACTTCTCCAAGTGAGGTACTACAACAGTTCAGGTCTTGTGTGTGAAACTTCAGAAACTTCGTAAAGATTTAGATATAAAACATCTAAAACAGGTAAACGACTGAAAACTGATGCTATGTTTGCTGTGGGCTTTTGATAAGGTAATTGGAAGAGGAAAACTTTGTTTACCACTTTGCTTTCTTTAAACAATCTATTTTCATTCAGGCCTGTTTTACTAAGTTCAGTGTGGATCTTGGGGGAGGGGGGTGTTCAATAAACATATCTGAGCTCCGTTTTAAAGGGTGATGCTCTGATAAAGAATGGCTCTGTGCTCAGTGCCTTTCTCTTAACGGGATTGCTCTATGCTTCTCACAGACTATTTTAGGCATTTTTAAAAATTACCATCTGGCTTCTCTGAAGCAGGCTTGTATGCTTGTGGCATTTCATTGCTTCAGTTGAGAGGTTCCATGATAACGCCCAAACTTGTGTGTTTACCCTCGGCTAAAGGGCAAGCTGTCTCCTGTAGTTAAATATTGTGGGTTTTGGGTAGTGGACAGAAAGTGTGCTCTTCAAAAGAGCTGGGGGGGTTAGAGTAGTAGTAACAATTAGTGTGCAAGTAGTTTTCATACATTAGCAAGAACGATTTTGGAGTATGGCTATGTTGCATGTTTCCCAAGACCTGCCATGACGTGGTATGTGCTACAGCAAAGTAGCTCAGCCAAAAATCTTGTGAAGATCCTATCCTGGTACAAAAAATACAAGGCTGCACTTACGCTTGTGTTCTGTGTTCATGTGGGATCTTTCCTTAGATGTATCAGTACATCTGTATTTGTGATTAAAAGAAATGTTCCTAAGCTTAAGAGCAGCGAAATATATTCGTTCTAACAGAAAATGTTCTTTGAACAAGTATTCCTGCTTGTTCTGTTTAGTGATTGCATGTTTTTGTCTATTATAGGGAGGGGGCCTAAAGGCGGCTAAATCATCTAAAGGGAAAAAGAAGAAAGAAAGTCTGGAGGGAAAGGACGGACGGAGGAGGAAAAACGCTTCAGATTCTGGGTGTGATCCTGCAACGAAGAAGCTAAAGGAGAGGGGTGAGGCGGATAGCAATGGTAGCGATGGAGGTGAGGCAAGCAGAGGTCCTTGGAAAGGAGGCTCCAATAGTGAAGCAGGACTGGATCCAAGGGCCAAACAGTTGCCTTCATTCATTCCTCAGATTAATCGCAATATTCGCTTTGCCACTTACACCAAAGAGAACGGCCGAACACTAGTAGTCCAAGATGAGCCAGTTGGTGGTGACACACCATTGCCCTTCACTCCATTTTCCTCTGTGGCTGGGCAAGCGTTACTAGTTGGATCTGGATGTAAAGAGGCAGGAAAATCACTGGAACAGGTTGGCCAAGGCACAGTGACTTCTGCAACTGCAGTTACTACAACTGCTTTGACGCCGACAACTGTGAGAATCTCTGATAACAGTTTACCAGCTGTTACTGGACAGGAAAAACTGAAAACGGGCCGATCGCCAGCCCAGGGAGAGGTGAGTAGCTCATGATCCAGCATATTCAAGAAAGGCATACGTACTTGCAACAGATGTTCTGTTACAAAGTGTGTCCATGGAATTGAGAAAACTACTTTTTCTCTGATGAATCCCTCCCCTCCCAGAGGAAACCTTTCTGTTATTTGACCTAAGAAAGAACTCAAAAGAAAAGGAAGATATTTGGTGGAGGAGTTGTAAGAGACAACTTTTTAGCACTCTTCTCTTTATTCAATCTTAATCTGAGACATGCAGCTTTAAAGTCACTTTAAGTACTGCACTTAATGTAATTAATTTTGTTGTATCATATGGAACATAACCTACTTAATATCTCTTGCCCTTATATAAACAAATATGTATGAGAATGTGCACAGAGTTGAACATTTAAGTTACTTAAAAAAAAAAAAGCCTTGAAACCAGAAAAAAACAAGGCTACATTTAGAGAACCTTTTATAGATGCCCAGCTTGTCTGTTACAACCATGATTGCTCTGTAGCAGAAAAATGAGCCAGTTGCATCGCATACTATCTAGGGCTGAAAACAAAGAAATAATTAAAACATTTGAGATGGGTACCTTTAGAATAAATTTTAATAAAGAGCTCAGTCCGGAAACAGCTTGAAGACCTTAAAGTGGTATCTTTGTTTTCAAGGGGAAAGGTGGAAAAATAGAAGGGAAATCCTGTTAAAAGCAAAATAGAAGACTTTTTAAGTAATCAAATGAAGACTTATAAAAACAAAACAAAAGTAAAACCCCACCTCAGTAAGTACAGCAAAAATTAAGAAACTTGTAGTCTACTGTATAAAAAAGTGAAGAAAATGAGAGGTACATTAGAGAGTCTAGGGTGATTGCCAGGAGGTTAAAGGGGGGGGGGGGGGGGGGGGGGGGGAAGGAGAGATGTTTACCTTGGGATAAAGATTCCTAGATGATAAGGTGTAAAGGAGAAATAGAATTGTAGAAGACAGTGTTACACAATGAAATTGTTATATGACAGTATAACCTGCTATCTCTTCCACTGCAGCCCTGCCCCCCCTGCCAAACCCCAAAAAAAAAAAAGTTCAGAGTTGGGAGCAACTACAAATTGTGTAGGTGAATGGTCAAAATTATATCCGTGGTATTAAGAAGAACTTTAATTGTACTGAGAAATGTTGGTACCGCCTCTCCTTCCCTCCTCCCCAACCCCAAATCACTTGTTTTAAATCATTATTAACAATCTGGCTTCAGAATTTGCAGGTAGACCACTAGTGCATTTCAAACTGTATTTTCCTTCAGGGAGGGAACCTGACATAAATCAGTAAGTGTTGTAGATAGTTCGTTCACGTGTTACTGCTTCAGACTGTCCACTTTATCATAGTGTGATTTGGTCCTTGAGATTACTTGAGAAGCTTGGTTTGCATTCATATTCATATGCTTTTTAAAACTGTTGGAACTCAATTTGTGAAAATTACTTTGGCTCTAAAAAGAAATATCTGAAATTCTAATATCTGGAAGAACTGTCATGGGGGACATTAATATGTTATTAAAGTTATTACAGCTGGAGATTGATAACAAGGAACAAGCTAAATGTTAGTTTGCAGTGTAGTAGGTGTGCAGTGACACTATTGACCAGGAAGATGTGTTGTGCGGAGGCTGTGGTCATATTTAAGATGGCCTTGGAATAAAAGTGTATTAATTGTGAGTATTCCTTATGAAAAGATTTCTAAGTGGAAACTCAAAGAAAAGGAATAGAAGTGATGAGTTAGCTGCAGAATATAATCAGTTACAGTAGGACTGAATTAAGAAGACAGCAAGCGAATATTCCATATCACAGCTATGGGTCTAACAGAAATCTGCAAGTCAGAAAACTTTCTGGTATTTGAAGATCATAAAAGTTAAGCCCTTTGTGCTTAACCTCTACTGAGTAATCTTCTGGAAGGCACCACTTCGTAGGCATCTGTCTGTACCTGTCAGCAGATGTGGCTTGCTGTGACCAGGAACGGTTTGTTCGCTAACTGCTAGAGGGCATTCTTTGTTTAATTAACTTTGCAAACTAAGTTAATTATTTCAAGGGTGCTGATTAAGTAGGAGCAGCTTGTCAGGATGATCTTGGGGGAGGGTGGAAGATGGGAGATTATTGAAAAGCAGTTTCAATTAAGGTTCTCTTCTTGCTGATTTGAATTAAAGCAATCAGCAATTGAAATAATTTGCTTTTCTGTGAATTAGTTCACCTTGTCTTGTGTCTCACTTTTGTTTTAAAGTGTGATAAGACATCAAGAGTTCATTTTCTTCATGTGTCTTTATTGTGTAATGGACACTGTTAGCTTGTAGGTAGGAAAAATTAGTCTAGCAGAATCTTTAAAATTTCTTCATGTAAATAATTCCACTGGAAGTTTCCATTACAGGCGGGTAAGTAGAATGCTAATTGTACAATTAGATGAACCACAGTATTGCTGAATCAAACAAGAATCCTTTAATAGGCTAATGCTTTTTAATTTTGTTTCAGAATTCCCGAAATTCACTTTTGGCTTCTTCTGGATTTGGAGTCTCTCTCCCAAGTGCTTCCCAGTCCTTGGTATTTGGGGGTGGAAGGAGCCAATCAAATGGAGTGGTGACTCCAGAAAGCAAGCCTTCTGGATTTCCTTTTGGCTGTAGTACTGGACAGGAGGCTCAGAAAGATGCTGATCTGTCCAAGAACTTGTTTTTTCAATGCATGTCCCAAAATCTACCTTCCAGTAACTACTTCACAGTCATTTCAGAGAGCTTGACTGAGGATGCCTCTAGTCGGGACTCATTCAAGCAGTGTACAGAGAGTGTGGGTGCTGGGATCTGTAAAGGTAAAATTCTTTCAGCGGACACTAAACCAGGAACCCAGACTGGCAGTTCTGTGGAGCGGAAGCTGCCTGTGGAATCTATGCCTACCCTTACTCCAGCCTTTTCACGAAGTCTTTTGAATACTCGCCCCCCAGATAGTCATGAAAACCTATTTTTACAGCCCCCAAAGCTATCGAGAGAGGAACCCTCAAATCCTTTCCTGGCATTTGCTGAGAAAGCAGAACTTAGTCCTTTCAGTGGCTTTGCATCTTCATCTCAGACGGGGGGTTCTACTCCCTCTACACCTGTGGGTCATAAGGCCACTTCTGGCTGGCCGGAATCGCTCACCTCTACAGACTCTTCTCTGTAGGGAATGGCCGTTCCAGCTCACCAACCAGCAACCTGACACAGCCTATTGAGATGCCCACGCTTTCCTCCAGCCCAACGGAAGAAAAACCAGCTGTTGGGCCTGGGCAGCAGGACAATCCTCTTCTGAAAACGTTTTCTAATGTGTTTGGCAGACATCCACCTGGCTTTTTCTCTTCACAGGCAGAGTTTCCACAGGAGAACAAACCCCCTTTTGAAGCTGTGAAAAGGTTCTCTCTAGATGAGCGGAGCTTGACATCCAAACAGGACTCTGACTCCAGCACCAATAGTGACCTGTCAGATTTGAGTGACTCTGAAGACCAGTTGCAGGCCAAAGCTTGTATGAAGGGAATCCCAGACCACTTGATGGCAAAGCTAGGCCCCAATGCAGAGCGTAATGCTGAATTGCTGCTGGGGAAAGGAAAAGGGAAGCAAGCCCCAAAGGGCCGGCCTCGCACAGCTCCCCTAAAAGGTGATGACTTGAACGCAGGGTGTCTTAGAAGCACAAGGATGTGGGATACTGGGGTATCTCCTGTGTGATGAACTATGTCAACTAACCACAGGTGTAAACCTCATTTATGCTCAGCAGGCAGCACACAGGATAATTATAAGGCTAAAGCTTAATGCTTCTTGTATGCAAATTAACATGTTAACTTTGACAAATGTTTCAGCATATATTTGTCAGGACAAAAGTGTTGTATGCTGCAGACTTGAACAGTCTTACTGGTTTTGCATGGGTATGATCATACAGATCTCTGAAAATGTTTATTGAGGCCAATGTCCTTTTGCTATTGCAGTTAACTAATGGATTTTTACTTCTACTTTGCCTCACCCAGTTGGCCAGTCTGTGCTGAAAGATATGAGTAAGGTGAGGAAGCTGAAGCAGTCAGGTGAGCCTTTTCTGCAGGATGGCTCTTGCATCAATGTAGCTCCACATCTGCACAAGTGCCGGGAGTGCCGTCTGGAGCGGTACCGCAAATTTAAGGAGCAAGAGCAGGATGACTCAACTGTGGCATGTCGTTTCTTCCATTTCCGGAGGTGCTCAAATTCTTCCTTCCTTCATATGTAGTCTGTGTACAGAGCTTGGACCATGTCCAAGCACAAAGTAATTATGTTTTACTTATTTAATGTGCTTGGGTACAATAATGACAAATTTGAGTGTCTTGCATTTCCCTGCATCACCTGACTGGAATTCCCTCACGGGACGGGGAGAGCTGTTGTTAGGAGATACAGCTCTGTGATGCTAAGCAATAGGTCCAGCCTCAGGAGACTGCATTTGCTTTATTGGGTAGAATTTTACTGTTGGGTAGCAGCTTGCATGTAATAGCTGTTCTCTCCCTCTTTCATAAGGAGTTCAGAACAGAGAAAAAAATTTAATTTGGTCAACATGTAAGTAAACATCGCCAGGATGAGGCTAATGTTTGATTAGGTTTTGTTGAGTACAGAACTGATTTTTAGGAGTAGAACACTGCCTGTGTTTTCTCTCTGTTGTGTACACGTCTTATAGTGCTTTGACCTCTCATGCATCTCTTGATTTTCCTTAACTGCCTATTCTAGCAAGTGCTATGCATCTTTTTCCAAAAAGATGTTTGTTCACTTTCTGGCATATAAAGGATGAAGTGAATTTTTATTATGTGCCACTTATCCAGTAAGGATTATGACTACTTCTCTTCCTGAACTTGTTAAAAATTAATCTAGCATTAAGATTAAAGATGAGATTGGTTTTGCTTTAAAATGATGTTACTTTTAATAAAGGCAGGAGATGTTCGGGGTTCTGTAACTTATGTTGTTATACCTTTTACCACACAAAGACTAAGAGGGTTGAGCTACTGATAAAACAGTTGTGACTTGTCTCTGTGGAGAGCAGTGGCAAGAATAGTAGGTACGATAAGGATTTTTGCATGTCTTGTAATGTGAACAGTTGCCAAGTGCTAGCAGCCCTAGCCAGAACTGAAATATTGGTTTCCCAAGAACTGGGAAATAACTTTCTCCTGAGTTAAAATAGAGAATGAGAATCATGTACAATTTTACAAGCAGCATCATGCAGCAGCCCAAATAAATTGAATTTTGTCATCTCTTTCTGTTAATAGAATAGAGAAATGTGACTTACCAAGCTATATCAATTTCCTGTATGTGGAGTTTCCCACCAATGCTTACTGGGACCTGGGGATTCATTCTAGTGGGTTTTGTGGCCATTGCCTTTATGTACCTTTTTCTCTGTGTTACCTGGATTTGCATAATAGTTGTACTGGCTATAGAGTACAGCACTCTAGCTCAAGCCTTTTTTCCCCTTTCTGAGTTTATGTCCTGACATAGATAGCATTATAAGTTAATTAAAGGTGGTTGAGCAGGTTCTCAATTATGCCATCCTGTTTTCTGCAGGCTGATATTTACCCGGAAGGGTATTCTACGAGTAGAGGGTTTCTTGAACCCACAACAGAGCGACCCTGATGCTATGAGCCTGTGGATTCCTTCCTCCTCTCCTGCAGAGGGGATCGATCTGGAAACTTCCAAATATATCCTAGCCAATGTTGGGGACCAGTTCTGCCAGCTTGTTATGTCAGAGAAGGAGGCAATGATGATGGTGGAGCCACATCGTAAGCTGGGCTTTTGACGTGTTTTTTGTCCATCTTCTCTGTGTAATGTGTGTACAATGCAGTGGAATAGAGTTGAAAGTGTAATATAGTTTCTTGTTAAAATGCTTCTCCTTTTCTTCCAAAGAGAAGGCTGTATTCACTTCTTTGGGGTGTGTGTAACTGTGGGACCAGCATTCGGGATTTTTCTTTTGGATCAATGCAACAGTACTACCAAGGAAGCTAACAGTAACTTCCCAGACATCGTTAAATTTTTTTTCAATAAATAAATGCAGAAATCAGCTGACCCATGCTCCTAAGAAAATAGAAATAAGTCCAGAACACTTATCACACTGACCAGCCATGCTTTAACGAGCAGCTTTTCTTACATATTCCTGTTATGCTCCAGGAACATCACATAAAAGCTCAGGGTTTTCTAGCGAGGGAGCAGCACCTGCATTCAGCCTGCCAGGACTCGGCTGAGTGACTAGTTGGCAGCGTTGCCACTGCAAGGGGCGTGGGTTTAGAAAAAAATTTCTAAAGGTATCCAGTTCAGCCTATCACATGGATAGCTCTGACTCTGATTTTTTTTTCTTTAGCTTCTGGAATGTTCAAGGGCAGCCATTTGGAAAGGACTTCCCCTTCCTCAGCAAATGTGTTGATTTAGAATCCGAAGAGTTGACAGGCATCTGATTAGTAAAACTAAAAACACATTCTTTATAATTTTATAAGTCCACTTTATTTGTTTATAAAACTAGCAGAAGTGTTACACTTTTCCTGTAAGTTCCCCAAGTGCTCCTTGAAATTCAGTTACTACAGTGCTCGGTGCTACATTTCCTTGTAGTGTGTGCATTTTGGGACTTTACCTTACCCACTCTTAGAAATGGGGGTTTTAACAGTGTCACAAGGCTAGCAACCCAAAGAACATGTCTCTGGATGTAAAAAGTATGTGTTTCTACGTTCTGCCCTCAAGTCATGTTTCTGTGAATTGTTTCTTTGTCAATGTTACTGTGATATTCTAAAATTAGGTGGGAGAAATGCAAAATGTCAAAGCAATAATTTCTAATGTTCCTTCTCTTTATAGAGAAAGTGGCATGGAAGCGAGCAGTACGTGGCGTAAGGGAAATGTGTGATGTATGTGAGACGACACTCTTCAATATTCATTGGGTTTGTCGTAAGTGTGGTTTTGGGGTCTGTCTGGACTGTTACCGGCTGAGGAAGAATCGTCCACGTAGTGGTGAGTACTGGATCCCCCCCCACCCTGTTACATTTGAACTGGCTGGCTTTCAGTGGGGATAGTTTCTGGGAAGTTACTGAAGGTTTTGTGGGAGAGGTAGTGAGTATCAGCTTGGGAGGCTGGAGGTTTGGAATTTTGGCACTACTGTCTTGTATGCTGCTGTTCCATTCTTCATTTCTTTAGATACCTGTGTTTTATCTATTTGGTTAGAATTTGTATATTAAAATTATAACATCAGCAAGTATAGGCTGCGTACTAAGACAGACTACTGTATAGTTCTAGCTCTTCCTCAGAGAGTATAAAAGAAAAATTAAGTAGTATCTTAACAGTTCAGAACCATCACAAGATGAACTAGTAAGCAGACATTGCAGAAAACTCCTTTCTATAACAAGGAGTTAGACCGGAAAGTTTTCTTCTTTTTTGATTTGATTTTTTTTTTTGATTGGTTTGTAACTCAGGAAAAAGTTCAGCAAATGCAATTTCTAACCAATAAAGGCACACTGTGTTTACAGAAGTGAATACCTGTTTGCTTTTTTGTGTATTTTACTATATTGAGACTGCTTTGGCAGCATGGATGCTGGCATTGGACAATCTTAATAACTGTAAGGCTATTAGTGACAGTTGGTTACATTATTATGTGGAGCAGATGTACAAAATACTGGATGTTAATAAGTGTGAGTACTGCTGTCTATTCATTATGATAAAGGTGCCAGAGAACACTGAATGAATTATAAAAGCAATGTTTTTTTAAAAATAGATAGTGTCACCTATTCTTATATCATTATTGTGGGTTAACCCGAGTAGGCAGCTAAGCACCACGCTGCTACTTGCTCGCTCCTCCACGACACTGGGACTGAGGAAGGAGGAAGGGAAGAATAAAAGCAAGAAAACTTGCGGATCAAGATAAAAATTGTTTAATAAGCGAAGGAGAAAGAGAAAAAGAAAAAAAAACAAAGGAAGGGAGGCAAAGGCAATCACTCGTCATGTCCCACGGGTAGACCATTGCCCAGCAGTTTCCCAAGCAGAAGATGGCTAGTCCCCTTACGCTCACTCCTGTTCTTATTGCTGAGTGTGGTGGAACATCCCTTTGCTTAGTTTGGGTCATCTACCTGGTCGTGTTCTGTCCCAACCTCTTGTGCACTCCCAATCTATTCACTGGGGGGCATCGGTAGAGTGAGAAACAGAGAAGACCTGGACACTTGGCAAACACTGTTCAGCAATAGCAAAAACATTAGAGTCTTATCAGTGTTATTTTAGTCACAAGTCTAAAACACAGCGCCACACCAGCTGCTATGAATAAAATTAACTCCATCCCAGCCAGACCCAGTATAATAATGAAGCCTATGAAATTACTGCCAGAATACACCAGTAGAGAGCACAACAGACTTAAAGATGTGGTTAGCCAGGGTACAGTGGAAATAGTTGTTAGTAAGTGGAATAAGGGTCTCCTGTATCTGGCACTGTTCATGTTTGGAAAAAACATTTTGGACTGAATGCATCACTGACAGAATGTGGTGTAAAGATGGCCATGATTCAAGGGCAATAGTTTCTTAACCCCTTTTCTTCTCACATCAAGGAAATAAATACTATAACCTTACCTGTGCCAAGTTAAAATGAAGAGAAGTCCAGGGCATATGGGAAGTTTTACTCACTGGTGTACAGAGGAGGGTCAGCATTGAAAAGACTGGTATTTTAGAGTGTCAGATGACAGTGGTGTGCTTAACAATGATGTCTTCCTGAAAACAGTATTGTAATTATGGATCATTAATTGAGCCTGAAATTTTTGAATGGGCCAAAATGTAGAACCAAGGCATTACTTAAATATAATTACTTGCCTCAAGAGGCTTCTGAACTTTGTGCTGTAGAAATAACCTATGCAGATACCTGGTCTAAAGGACCTTGAAATGAAGTTTTATATGATCCTTCTCATATTGTACACCACTCAGTCTTCCCCACCCCCTTCATTTTTAAAGGAAGAGAATGGCATGCAGCTTATGCAGCTACATATTTGTAGGCCCAACTTGGTTTAAAATCTGAAGAATTAGAAATTTGTCACACTACTTTTCAAACTATTAATTTACTACTTATTAGCTTTGTAGGTAGATATACTGACAGGAGAGCTTAGTTTCCCCTCCTGGAACTGATCTGCAGATACTTTTTGTTGAAAAAGCTTTGCAGATGATGACAAGACAGAATTACTGTATAACTTAGGAAAGCATAATGAGAACAAGAGTATAATCAAAAACTGAGACTAGAAGCCAAGATTTTTAGGTGACTGAAAATAACAAGCTATTAGAGATAAAGGGAAAATGACTGTAGTAGTTTTATAATCTGAAGAGGCCAAGAAGTTGCTGTAGATCCTGTTCTAATGGTCTGTATTTATAGTTTATTTCTGAGATCACCAGGTTAATCTCCTGCACTGTAAAGAATCTAAAGAAACAATATTGATGCAGAAGCATTCTGTATTGTAAAGTTTTAGTGACTTTTACACAAAATTTTACTTTTTTTGTGTCTTTATGCCAGAGACAGAGGAGATTGGTGATGAGGAAGTCTTCTCATGGCTGAAATGTGCAAAGGGTCAGTCTCACGAACCAGAGAATCTTATGCCGACACAGATCATTCCTGGTACAGGTAATGCTTGAAACCTGAAAGGAAAAATTCCAAATTTTTTCTCAATTCTGAGCAAGCAAGTGGAAAAAATACTAAGGTGGTTGGTGTTCAGCTGTTACATTTTCTAGTATGGATTTAGAGGAGAATTCCACTTGCTACAGTGGAAGGGCTGAAGGGAAGGTAACCCAAATAAGATCAAGCTGTGGGTTTGAAGTGAAACACCCTTCTGATACTAGCTGTGACTTCTTGTGCTCAGCTGTTTTTAATTGTATCAGCAAATTTGGTTCACTTGCAAGAAAGATCTTGTTCTTTTCTGTTGGGGTGAGGGAAAGTAAATGGTCAGTGCTGACCATTTATTTGACTGCATCATCAGCTCCCAAGAGACCCAGCTTCTCAAAGGTAGATTCGTGATCATAGAAGCCAAAAGCTTGAGTATGACACTGGCCACACAGCCAGGCATTCACCTGTTCAATTTACCACCCCCTCCTTCTTACTGGGAGGATAGAGGAGAACACCACCTGTGCTCCAGATACTTTTAACATTGCTCCAAGGGATATATCATCTCTTTTGATGGTTCTGAGTTGCCTCATTGCAGTATCATTGGGCCCTTACATGGAATAGTAGGAGCAGGTGATAATCTGGAGGATTTGCCAGGGTTGACAACCTGTCAGTGACATTGCAAAGCTAGCATTAGCGCAATTCGCCACACTATTCAGAAGCAAATATCTTGTTATAGCATGTGGTCTTAAAGATACTTAGCAGTAATGCTAAAAAAAACCCACCACTCTTCTGAAAATATATTATAGTTAAAGCCTTGGGTTTAGGTTTTTTTTTTTTTTACATGTGATATTAAAGATTTTAACTATTTCCAGCGCTTTACAATATTGGAGACATGGTTCATGCAGCACGAGGCAAATGGGGTATTAAAGCCAATTGTCCATGTATTAACCGGCAGAACAAATCGGTGTTGAGACCTGCTGTCACTAATGGAATATCACAGGTATGTAATTTGAGGCTGAAATTACCTTGTTTGACATTACGTTTTTAAGATGTATAAAAACATTAGATCGTTTAGACTAATGTATTATGAAACACAAACTTTATTTTTTCTATATGTATTCTGAGTGTTTTAGCTTAGCAAAAATCTTCTGGGACATTTTTCAGGGATGTGTGCTGCAACCGTTACTTAACAAGTGGGTATGTGAGCTAATACTCTTATGTAGAAGTTAGGTAGGAAGCCATTCATATTGATGCTGTATCTTAAAACAAACCACTATGAGTAGCTTGCAACATGTGCATTTATTTTATTATGGTTCCTGAATGTTATGCTGAATCTGGAGCAGTTCTGTTACTGTTCACACAAAAAATCCTCCTGGAAAAGAAAAAAAGAAAAAAAAAAATCTAAAAGCCTGGGCTTGTGTTAAAAGATGACTGAAAGATGACGTGGTAAGAATTTGCATCACAATGCAAGGTCTAGTGTATATGGAGAAGAAGCTTCTGTACTCTGCTGTTACATAAGCCTAAAGGAACTCTACTGTGAGCTTAAGCAAACAAACAAAACCTAATGCATTGGATAACTAAAGTGTGTCCCAAGTTGAACTCTTACTTTTATTCAACATTTAGCAATTGTTTATATTTTTGTTTTAGCTTCCGACTGTAAATCCTAGTGCATCAGTCTCTGGAAACGAGAGCACCTTTTCCACTGGAGCAGGGACAGCAGGAGTGGGGCAAATAGAAATGGACACTGTTCCAAAATCTGAAGCAACTGATAGTAGGATAGAAGAATCTGCAAAAACAGAGACGTTACCAACCAATAACACTGGTGAAATAAAGACTAACAGACCACTTTGTCCAGAAACAGCTCCATCATCAGCCTTACACTGGCTTGCGGATTTAGCAACACAAAAAGCAAAAGAAGAAACAAAAGGTGAGTTGAAAACGTGCCCTCTGGGGCTGGAATTAAAAGATAAATGATAACATACTGCTTGGTTGCTATTCTTCGTGAGAGCACCTAGCCCTAAATAGAAAAGGGCACAGTCATTTTTCTTCCTTTTGCCTCTTAGAATCAGTTTTCTTTTACAAGCTTAGGAATACGCAAAGCTGGAAAGATGATGATACAGCTGAAGATAAAAATACTGTCTTGTCACTCCCAGTTTATTTCAGTGCCAGTTCTTGTATTCATTTTCTAAGTAATAAGCAGCTGGTATCCTGATGTAAAATTATAGTAATTAATTTCAGATGCAGCTTTATCACTTTATAACTGTTGAAGTAAATAAAGCTGTTTCGTGTGGTATGTGAAGAGTGCATTTCTAAAGAATTGAAAGAGTAGAGTCTATTTAGAGGGTCAGATGAAATCTTAGAACTTCTTTAATACTCAATAGTTTGACTGTGATTCTCAATATGGAATAGCTGTTTACAGAATACACCTCCCAGTTGTCAGAGGTAGCATGAATTAACACAGGATTTACTCCTGTACATATTCCTGGGAGGAACTACTTTATATGTCAATGTTAAATGTTCATGACTCTCACTAGTTTTGCAGGGCTTAGCCACTGTAATAATTTGACTACAATTGAAATTTTAAATATTTCATATTGAAACATTAATTCAGAAAGTCAAGGAAATGTTTTTTAATTGAGTATATTACAAAGTTGTGGTTTCTTGTGTATCAAACTTTCAGATCAGATCTACTGTGCTATTTAAAACCTTAACAGCCCACTAAGGGTAAAACCTATTTGAAGTATATCATGTCTCTGATTCTCTTTAGGGTGCCTCATTCACTGTTGCAGTGATAATTTACTTTTATCACAACATTCTGTCAATATCCTATTTAATACAAGAGCAAATAATTTCAGAGAACTTATGATCATTTGAACTTTGCCTTTTTTCTTTTTTTTTTCTTCCTCTTTTTTTTTTTTTCCCAATGTTGATATTTATCTTGCAGAATCAGGATCACTGAGGTCAGTGCTTAATAAAGAATCCCATTCACCCTTTGGATTGGATTCCTTCAACTCCAGTACAAAGGTTTCCCCACTAACCCCAAAGCTGTTTAATAGCCTCTTGTTGGGCCCAGTGACATCTAGCAACAAAGCTGAAGGCTCCAGCCTCAGAGATCTGCTACACACAGGGCCAGGAAAGCTTCCTCAGGTCCCATTAGACACAGGAATCCCCTTTCCTCCGGTCTTTTCTGCAGCTTCTACGGTAAATAATTTTGTATTCCTTCAATGATATCTGTTCTAGGGAAGAATTTCATGCTGATCTAACAGTTTTAATCTAAGTGTTTTTATAGTATCTTATTAATAAATGTTGAAACAAATGCAATGTCTCACCACCCCACAAAGTTGTAGAGAATTTTGATGCTAATTGTTAATTTGTGGTTTGGTTTACTACTGCACTGGAGAAGGTATTCCTTGCAAGAGACCAAGAAAGTGAGTTAAATATAGCCTTTAAACTGTTTAATTGATAATCAGCATCCCTCTAAAAGCTCACTTTAAATTCCACACCTTTAAAAATATTGCAAGAGCATACCACAGAAAAAGACAAAAACCTATGAGCAAACCAGTTCCTTAAAAAAACCTTATGTATACTTGAAAGGCATTTAACACAGAATATGAATTTAAGAATTTAAGGTGTAGTTGTTATTTCTGGGTGCTTATTCTGGAATAAGGATACTTTGTTTCTCTTTAATCCCATTTTGGAGGAAATAACCTTAATCTGGACAAATCAATCCTATTTGGAATGGTTAAAAGCATTTAGTGAAGAGAAGGATAGATTCTATGGAATTTATCAACACTTCACTCTTCTTAGAGAATATGTTCTCCAAAAGTTTAGGCTGATAGAATGAGGAAGATGATGAAATGGCTTGTCTCGTAGCAGATATTTTTTTGTTCCTCCATATAAGACTGGAAGGATGGAACCGTAATAATAGTTCATGTTGTTTGTTTTTGATGGACGGAACTGTACAGCTGTATGGGAAAATATGTCGCTGCTACTGGAAAGTGAATCCAATAATACTTTCCCTGCCCCCCTCCCCACTGAGTACAGGCAAAGAAATTGTGATCACTTGTTTTACAGCAAGATATTCCTTCAAGGCTTGAGAGACCTGTCTCAACTTGTATCCCTGTCCCTGCAACTCTATGCGTTCTCTCACCACGTTGAGTCAGATCTATTGTGTAATGTCTTTTTTCACTTTCTTGATTTCTGGTCTTCACAGAGCAATTTAGATTTGAAAGAACTTGTGGGGAACTCTGATCCGACCCACCACTTGAATGCTTGGATGCTTAATATAGAATGTGTATGAACAAAACATACCCAAGAAACAGCAGTTGTATTGGTCAAATTGGGAGGAATAATAGATTGCTGCTCATGAAGAGAATCATCTTGGTGCCTCTGGAGCATTGACATTCTGTTGTGAAGAGTAGTTAGCACTGACTGTGATAGTTAAACTGCGTATTATCTGTTTCATGGTCTCGGGAGAGTTAGCGTAAAGGTCCATTTTCAAGACCATCATAAGCAGATGATGTTATGACCTAGTCTTACTTGCATAAGACAGGCTGTAGAAAACTAATATAATCCCAAGCAGCAGTACAGGCTGGGGTCTGAGTAGTAGGGGTGTAACCCTTCTGAAAGGAGCCCAGGGACCTGGAGGACAGCAAGTGGAACGTGAGTCAGCATTGCACCTTTGCAGCTGCAAAGGCAAACTGTCCTGGTCCACATCAGGAAGCATACAGCTGGAGCACATCTAGGAATGTGATTATTCCACTCAGCACTTGTTAGGTCACACCTGGAACATTGTGTCCAGTTTTGGTCTCCCAAGTTGAAGAATGACACTGAAAAATCAGAGCGGGTCCAGTGGAGGGCCATGGAGAATGAATAAAAAGTTGGAGAGCTTGACACATGATGAAAGGTTGAAGAAAATGGTTCTATTCATCTTAGAGAAGAGAATGCTTTGGGGATCTGATCGATCTTATTGCATATAGAAGGTGGTTGTAGAGAATATGGAGGTACTCCCGTCACAAGGATGCATGGTAACAGGGCAAGATAAAATGTACACGAGTTGCTTCAGGAGAAATGCTATCTGGATATAAGAAAAAAATCTTACTTTACATTGAAGCAGTGGAATAGGCTGCCCAGAGAAGTGATGCAATCTCCTTCCCTGAGAAATTAAGGTTTAGCTTGACCCAGCCCAGGGTAACTTACCTGATTTCCACAGAAAGTTATACCAAATGATCTCTAGGTCTTTCTTCTGACATAGAGTCTTCTATAATTTCATGAATATTTTTACTGAATGAATATCTTCAGTTACAAATAGTGTTATGTTTTGGGTTGATAGCTCTGCATATGGTAAATGTTCTGTCTATTGAACTTTAGTTTTAAAAAATATGGCAAAATTGTTCCTGGCTAGAATGAGAAGCTCTTTGCTACCAGAAATCTACCACACCCTTGCCCCCTCCCATAGATGTCTTGTGAATAATGATCCAGTTAGTGTTTATCTTCTGTTGAATGTATAAAATATATTTGGTGTCTTATGTATCTTGCTATAGGCAAGGCCTATAGGCAGGCTTTTTTTTTTTTAAGTTAAGAACACAATTTAAGATTGTGTTGTTAATCTCTTCCGAATTTTAAACATCCTTTGAAGAGTTTTAAGCATCCCTTAAGGAACATGGAGGCCACAACCAGAGAGGCTGTATGCTACTGGTTCTATTAACATTATACACACAGGAAGCACTTTCTCCTCTCTGTCAGTGTTTTCTTTATGTTCCCATGTTTGTCAGCTTACCTGTGCCAGGGTTGAATTCACTTTCTTAGTAATGGAATGAGGAAAATGGGGAAATAGCGTTGAGATATTAATAAAGTTAAGAAAAATATGAACCATTTTTACCATTAAAGTAGCAGAGTTTAGATCACTTAAGTTTTCTATTCCATGATTGTTTGCTGTAATGTTTTTCTAGATAGCCCGTAGCAGGTTATTTTAAGTTTTACTATTATAAAACAGGGCCATAGCTGTTTCTGTTCTTACTGGATACATGCCCATCTCTGAGTTGATTTGTTTACTGTTGCATGTTTTTTTGATAGCAAGATGTCAGTGACTAAAATCAGAAGGAGAACAGATATGTAGTAATATGTATGCTGTTGCAAGACTAAACTTACCTCTGGATTTACATCTTCTAGGGGGCCAAAGGTAAAGCCAGCCTGCCTAACTTCTTAGACCATATCATTGCTTCTGTGGTGGAAAATAAGAAGACATCTGATGCTGCAAAACGAGCTAGTAATTTAGCTGACACACAGAGAGAGGTGAAGGAAATGGTAATGGGCTTAAATGTGCTGGATCCACACACTTCCCACTCTTGGCTGTGTGATGGTAGACTCCTTTGCCTTCATGATCCTAGCAACAAAAACAACTGGAAGATCTTCAGGGAGTGCTGGAAACAAGGCCAGGTGGGTGATGACAAATAGCCAACCCTTACTACTTATAAGTATCCTGAAATTTTAACCCGTACCTTGGTTATTGACAAGTCCATTCAAACTTTGGCCAATTGCTCCTGAGTGAATATGATGAATGAAGATTTCAACTGTAGCCCTATAAACAGGGGATGCAGCGGCCCTGTCCACTCCATGCTGTACTGACTCAAGCCCATGTGCCTTGCACATTGAGCTTTTCTCAGCTTAGCAGTATTGAGGGTGTTTGCTGTGACAACCTTTTTAGTTGTGTGGTTTGTTCTGAACCTGCTCTACTACAGCCCAGTAGTGAATCCACTATGATTTCCTGCATGCATCCTAGCATCTACCCCATACTCGACGCTTTATAGTCTTAGGAAAAGGTCCATTCCTTCCAGCTGCAGCATGTACAAGAATAAAACTGCTGCATGCAGTCATTTCTGCTGAATTTCTGCTGAAACTTTTGAGTGTACTTAATGCAGTGTCTCATCCTGAGCCTGCAGCCTGTGTGAAGCCAAGTATTGTTTTGAACTCAGCATCTCATTTATTGAGCACTCTCCTGGATTGTCTGAGGGGGTCGTCAACCAGTTAGGCCTTCAGTCAAGAGACTGGACCTTAGACCTGCTGCCAGCATAGCCACTTTTTCAGATCTCGATCCATAGTACTACAGCTTAGACTTCTCCAGAGAGGCATAAAGATTGGCCCCATCAGACAAGCTGAATCTTAAAAAATGGGTGAGTAGCTGCTACTGCAGTGGAAGTGCACCCATAGCTCTAATAGAATATGGTATCCATCAGTGTTCCAACTGTGTTGTTGGCACTTGGTTCTACAGCTACCTCTGACACCGTTACCTTCACTGACTACTCAGAATTGGGGCCATTGATGCTAGACAGTTATGTTCTCATCATCTTTTCTGGAGAAAGTCCTTGTTGTCAGCTGTTCTGTTGTTATTGTGCTAATGCTCTTGGCACTCACATTCCATAATTTTTGTGGTTGCTCACAAGACTGGCGGACTGCTGAGCTGTGGTGGAGGAGCAGATCAGGCTGCTTGTTCCTCTTGGCATTCGGGTCCATTCATGCTGGAAGCAGACTAGCACATAGCCATAAGAACTGCAGAGAGGATTGTGGCACCACCAACCACAAGAGTTGCTAGCTGTTTTTTCCAGCTTCCCTAGACAGCTCCTAATAGGTGGAAGAGGCTACTGTGCAGCACACCCTTGCTTGTCTGACTTGGGAGACATAGCTTGCTGCTGGTATTGGCAGCTTTACTCCTAATTGCAGTTATCTTCTTCTTGTCCTGATATTTTTTGGAGTGCACAGGGGTCTTTTTTTTTGAACCTGTTGTTGATTTTTCAGATCATTCTTTTGCAGTGCTGTGGTGCCTGACTTGGCAAAGAGCTCCTTAGTTTCTGGTCACTATACTCTGATAATTTTCTCAACCCTCTCTGTCAGCAAATAATACTGTCTCTTCTGAGGAGGATCCTAAATATTTGGGGAGCTACTTAGAAAAGATATGCTTGTCAGTTGCTCTGCAAATGAGGCTGGTTAGAGCCAAGATGCTGCACTTGGTCGTGGGGTTCTTGACTGTTAATGAATCCTGAGCAACTCCTTATGGAGTCTAGAGATGTGATTACCAATCTCCTTGGAGCTTGGAGTGTGCATTGCCTTCCAAGTTGGTGCACACTCTGAGGCTCTGGCCACAGCTGTCATGCTCAGGTACTATTTGTGACCCTCTATTTAGGCTTTGCCTCAAGATGTGCTATTGATGCTTTTGGATGACTTTATCATTCAGAGGACCCCTTGTATAGCAGAAGACTAGGCAAGTCTCCTGCTCATTCACCTGCTGAAATGTGGAAAGCAATCTAACTGAACCTCTCTTATTCCTGCACAAGAGAGAGTAGGTGACCCAAGCAGGAATCACTGTCTTGACAAAGCTATTCTAAATAGAATTTCTTCAAGCAGACATTTTCTCAACAAACTCTGCTCTGTCACAATTCTCCCTTGGCTGACATCCTCCTGTACATCTCCCCTGCACCTTTAAAAGTGAAGTCAAAGAACATTAATTCTACCACCATCCCCCAAATCATTTTCCCCTTCCCATTTTGTGGGCTGGAAAAGGTTAGTTGGAAAAATACTATTAGCTACCCCCCCAGCACAATAAATGCACACTAGACAATAGATCTGAGCCATATAAAGATCTTAGCTGTGGTAGCATCCCAAATGGCTAAAAGAGTAAATTCTTTTCCCTTTAACAAATGGCACTCTTTCAGTGTCAGGCAGAAAGAGCAACATTTTTCAACTCCTTTGTCTTAGAAGTTGTCAGAAATAAGTTAAACTCTGTCTTATCCCAGAATTCACTGGCAGACCATAGGATTATTTCTCTCTGGAGCTGTTCTTCAAGAGCATTTTGCTCTCCTGAACATGGTTGTTGCTCATCTGGGGATACTGTCAGGATTCTCATCCTATAGCAACCTGTTATTTTCTGAGTTTTCATACTAGGATTTCTCTTTTTTGAGATACTAAAGATTTGGGGTGGTGTTGGAGGTCTTTTGTTTTCTCCTTGTATTCTGAGAGCAGATCTGGCAGGAAACATCTACCAAGCAAGTCCACTATCCTAGCTGTGCTTTACACTAGAGAGAGCATTTTCTTTCTTCCATGAGAAATTCTTTGCTTAATAGCTGGAAGGGTTCTAGTAGGTTAAGTAGACTTTTTTTTTTTTAATTGATATGTTCAAGTGGTCAAGTGAATACAGCAGGGATCAAAATTTGTCATTATTTTCCTGGACTGAAGAAGACTAGTTTATCCATCAGCTTAAAGTCTACCTGGCAGCAGTTTCTACCCATCCTGTGAAAGGTACTGTCATGATCCCTAGGTTTTT